TTGCGCTTAATGTTGTTAAAGACAAACTGTTTCTCAGTTTTGATTTGACCAAGTTAACTTGGCTGAATACACGTTTGAATGTGGCAATGTCAGCAACATTTTTGCACATCCAGCCAGTTCCAAAAAGGGAATGTTTCCTGCAGCGTTCTTGAAGTTTAATACTTCACACCAAAATTCAGTGGTGGATAAAGTACACTGCCACTGCATACGATCAATGTTTCGCCATTGTGATACAAGCTTATCGATTTTGTTGCATCCGTAGTAAACTTTGCGCTATTTCTCTATAATATTCATGGAATGACGTATATTATTCAATGACAAAATTTCTACTTGTACCCTACATGTATCCATCTAGCGCCAAGTAGAACCGGTGCTATGCTACTTGACGCTATATGGCAGGATATATGTCAATATTGATGAAACATGACGTGAGACTACGGTATTTCTTTTAAACCAGGAAAATGCTAAAAAATATGCTCTATGATAAATTGGAATTTTTAATGCTAAATCAGTCGAAAATATGCCAAATTTAGCCATAAAAATGCTAAACTGGCATCACTGCTACTACCAATAAAATCTGAACTTAGCAACAGTTTGAATGTGTAACAATTATACAATCCAAATACTTTATAATATTACGAAAATAAGTAAACCACTGTTATAAATATTACTGATGAGTGAATTACCTAATTATGAATGTTTAGAAGATGAAATTACTTGTATAATATTCTTAGTAAATTAGAAATAAAAACAAAATTACCAATGATAATTATTATGACGACACATTGACCTTTAAACTTTTAATTTCTTTACTCATGTGCTTTTAATCTATTTTATGTTTGATAATTATAAAATAATAATATAAAACAAAAACGATAGTTATATAATTATTATTTATAACGATTCATGATAGAAATATGTAACAATGTTATCGGAAAGATGCTGCTGCACATTTCCTGTTTCAGATTCTCCTGTCACCTCTTACTTTCACGGAACACTTTAACTCATTCTACGGATGTGACATTGAGTGAAAAAAATCGATTAATAAAAAATAGATTTTTTGCTTTGTGATAATAATCGATTTAAGAAACATCGATTTTTTTTAAATAATTGATTTTCGCGAAAAAAATATTTTATTCGAAAAATAATCTTCTGGTTTTAGAAATAAACTATAGAACAATTTTTTTAACATATAACTTTGAACAATAAAAAACTAAAAATAATTACTGCCACAAATGTTCAGTGCCATTTAACAATTTATTACATCCAAAATAAACAGAAACGATAAATTAAACTAAGTTTTACGGATTTTATCGCGTTTAATTTAACTTTTTAATTCCCGACATTTCAGGTGCTTTACAGCACGCATGGTCACAGAGGGGACTGAGGTGTTTGACGTCCCTATGTCATAGTTGAACCACAAATCCTCGCAAAAGAACACCGATTCCTACCAAGGATGATTCGCGAGGCTATCGAAATTAAAAAACATCCTAATTTCAATAGAAAAGATGGATGGGTGCTGCCATCTGCTTAGCATCCTATAATTAATAAAATTAAATCCAAACCCAAGCATACCACTGTAAGACTTCATGATACTGTAAGCTCACGGCTCGACGGCTCCGTGGCGCAGTGGCTTAGCAATCAGTTGTTGCGCTGGGGGCCGCGGGTTCGAATCCCGCACGGAGCAAGTATTTGTATGGCCTACAAATAATTGTTCCGGGTCTGGATGTTTGTCCTTGTGCAATTTATGTTTGTAAATTGCCTCCACGACACAGAAGAAAATCCTAGTGTGGGGGTAACGTTTTTAAAAGAAGAATAATAAAAGAAGAATTCTGCGTAGATCGGACCAAAAATTAATATTCAAAAACTGAATTTAGCCAGGCTAACTATGACATCTGGACGTCAAAGACCTCAGTTCCCCCAGTGACCATGGGTGCTGTGAAGCACCCGAAACGTCAGGAATTAAAAAGTTAAATTAAGCGTGATCAAATCCGTAAAAATTAATCTCATTTAATGTGTAGTCTTCGCGTAAATATAAGAAATCATAAAGAAACCATAATTTTAGTAAACGATAGTTTTTTTTTAAACTAAGTTTGAACAAACAAAAAGTCTAAATATCATTATGCCACTAATGTTCAGTATCATTTACATTGGATTTATTGGATTAGAATGAAAATAAAATAAAAATATAATAAAATAATAATTATAAATAATCCGACGACAACCTTTTGATCTCAAAACTAAAATACAAGACAAATCTTTTTTTAAACTTGTGTAAACAAAAAAAGTAAAAAAAATATTGCCATGAATTTTCAGTTAAAGACTTCATCAAATCAAAATCAAAAACAATCATTTCATTCATTTCATTCTTCTTCGTCTCTTTGCCAAAATACGGTTTCGTTTTTTCCTGACAATATTTCCCGCTTTCAAAAATAATCTTTCGGCTGGTGCGGAACTGGCCATCACTGAGAGGTGTTTAAAAGCCAATTCGGTTAGTTTAGGGAAAGTTCCTTCAGAGCCTCTCCATATATTGAGGGCCTGCCTTGAGATTTGATAGTGGTGCCATAATATATAGATCCAATTCAGTATTTTTGCCTATAGACGTGTTGGCCGCTATCATTTTTTCATTATAAAATACTTCTGTCAGTCACTTTTACGCGTTTCACAAATTATTTTTATTGTTTATATATAATTGTCTACACTAACCAAAGAAAGAAAGAAAACCACAGAAAACTTTTATTCCGGAGGAAGAAACTTGTTGAAAACATACGAAAAGCGAAACTGTTTTACATACATAGAGATACATAAAGGTGACGCCGTCTTTTGATTGACTTATTCATGTTATTGAACTTACTTCACGTTTTTACATCCATCGCACAGAAGACTCTGATTACAAAAATCGATTGAAACGCGTAATTTACATAAAAATCGATTTATTAAAAAACGATTTTTATTATAAAAAAATCGACTTCAAAAAATCGATTATAAGAGAAAAATAATCGATTAATATGAAAATCGATTATTTTTTCACATCCCTAACTCTTTCGTTGCCAAGGACTCGCTTCGCGAGTTTATTATAATAGCATACTGGTGGCCTAGAACTCGATAAGCGAGTCCTAACTATTTATCGTATTTTCTTCAAAAATACAAAGAAAAAAATGTTAATTCTAAATTATCAGCCACTTTGAATATCGTTTTACGCCATAAAACCGTGGCCCGCGTGTCAGGTAAGTATTTAATTTTTTTATAAAAAAAACCAAATACGAGAATGGGGGTGGGGCGGGGCGGGGGACACCTTGATGGCTCGCCGCGCTTCGTGCCCGGGCGCCCCTCATTCGTCGTTATGTTCGCGTCGGTACATATTGTAAGTCTCGCTGGAGATATTGTTGTATAGCTATCCTGTGGATTTGTTTGCTTATTGCTTTGGAGGTGATATCCTCTGGACTAGTGACCTTCTGCTACGTTTGTTGAACGACGCCATATTTAAAAGCAATGTAAGTATTGAAACATTTTTAACAAATTGTTTACTTTAGGTACCTCTTGTATTCTTTGATATATATTTGATATATATGTATACAATGACGCAAGACTTACCAAATGATCACGAAGAGTTTATTCCATTATGTTTCGTATTTAGTAGTAATATTTGACGTCATGAACGTCTAGATTGGGGGACCACTTCGTAAAATATTTTGAAATTTTATGAGTGTACAATTTTACTATGAAAGTATGAAATAGTAGAAATATTGTATTAAATCCATTGAGTTATATGTACTACGTACTAGAGAAGGCACTCCAAACAAAAATTGTGTCCTACTCTATGTCTCCGCGCATGCGCGGGAGTAGTAGTCGCGCATGCGCGAAGACTTTAATTTGATATAAAATAAGATATTAATATAAAATAAATATAAGAATTTAAAATAAAATATCTTAATTTAATCTAAACAAACATAATGTTGCGCGCCACTATTAATGTTTTGTACATGGCAACACTAGTTACACTAGCGCCCTCTAGTGTCGAGTAAAAGAAAGTGTTGCGCGCCACTATTAATGTCTTGTAAATGGCAACACTAGTTATACTAGCGCCCTCTAGTGTCGAGTAGCAGAACTAGGAGAGTCGAGATCCTTCCAGAAATTTCGGAACCGATATGTACTCGAACATTCTAGATGTCACTACAGTAGAAGGTTCTGGAAACTATCTGAGGCCCTATATAAGGCCGGTATACCCCGAGCTTGGGGTTCGAGGCAATTAAAAACTGCCGATTGAATTACCAAAATTTACACTTTAATTACACAACACTAATTACAATCTAAAATCACACTAATAATAAAACACAGTTCGCCGTTATTCCGCTTCGAAGTATTCTCTTGTATCGCCAATTCAATACTCTCCAGTCGTGGTCTATACCGGCCTTATATAGGGCCTCAGCTAGTTTCCAGAACCTTCTACTGTAGCGACATCTAGAATGTACGAGTACATATCGGCCCCGAAATTTCTGGAAGGATCTCGACTCTCCTCGACACTAGAGGGCGCTAGTGTAACTAGTGTTGCCATGTACAAGACATTAATAATGGCGCGCAATACTTTCATTTACTCGACACTAGGGGGCGCTAGTGTAACTAGTGTTGACATGTACAAGACATTAATAGTGGCGCGCAACACTGCCCCTCCTAAGACATGCTCATCCCGAGCATTATTGGCCCCATAATAACGCGCCAGTCGATCTACATGGACAATCTTAGGAGTACCTCTGGCACCTTTCTGTATCCGGTAGGTTACGTCATTGATCCTTGTCATAATCCGGTACGGTCCGTCCCATTTAGCTTGAAGCTTAGGAGATTTCCCTTTGCTGCGAACTGGATTGTGTAACCACACTAGAGAACCTTCATCAAACCCCTTGTTGTTCATTTTGCGGTCATACCGTGTTTTCATCTTCTCAGACGTTTGCTGGCCCGTCTGTCTGACGTGCTCATAAATGTCATTCGTTTTGTTCCGCAAGTCATTTGCATAATCGGTTATACTGTGTGGGGCATCTGGTGGTATTCCGGTGATCAGGTCTGCAGGCAGCCGTAATTCTCTCTAAAGGTACTCCAAAACGACAGAAGACTCCATGAACTAGTTTATCTGCAACTGTTGAAGCTTCTTGATTTGAAATGGTGAAGACTTCTGGCCACTTAGTGAAGTAATCCATCACAACCATGAAATACTTGTTACCACTTTCAGTTTCTGGAAACGGCCCCGCAACGTCAATGGCTATCCTCTCCCATGGTGCACCAACATTGTACAATTTCAATACGCCTCTACTGCGAATTCGAGGTCCCTTTACAGCCGCACAACTTGTACATTTGCGGCACCAGTCCTCGACATCGTCACGACAGTGGACCCAGTAAAACCGTTCTCGGATCTTCAGGAGAGTTCGTTTAACTCCCAGGTGGCCTCCTGAACAATCACTATGGTACAGCTGTAGAACATCCGGCACTTTAGCCTTAGGGACAACCATTTGCAAATGACACCTGTCTCCCCGACCATTTTCCCATTTACGGCACAGGACTCCATCCTGAATCAGCAAGCTGTCCCATTGGGCCCAATAGCTTTTCGTGGTCGAACTCATAGCTGAGACGTCGCTCCACTTGGGCTTAGGAGCACTAGCCTTCATCCATTCCAGAATCGGTTTAATGTCCGAATCTTCCTGCTGTGCATGTTGTAGGCTGTCCTTTTTTGTAACGTCGTTCAGGCGGCGGTAGTCAACACAAAACCGCATGCTGCCGTCCTTCTTCTTTACCAGCACCACAGGTGAACACCATGGACTAGATGAAGGTTCAATAACACCATCCTTCACCATTCCCTCAATCATGGTTTCCACTTCCTTTTCACGTGCTACAGGCAATCTTCTTGGCCGCTGACGAATAGGCAATTCTTGTCCTGTGTTTATTTTGTGTTGAACTAAGCCAGTCTTTCCTATGTCAGCTTCGTTTGACGAGAAAACATTGGCGTACTTGAGTAACAACTTCTTCGCCTTGACCATTTCATTCGGGGAAAGAACGCTGCGAAAGTCTTCTAAAAGTGTGGTCACTCTCGTTTGTCCATCCTTGCTGGGGGTCCCGGTCGATAGATATTCGCACCGACGCAACCAATCCACTTCCTCACTAGTACCAACCAATGTGCCTTTTTCTATAAACTGTTCCTGATCACAAAGGTTCAACACACGTACTCCTGAGATGTCCGTGGTTCTGACCAAGGTTCGAGTCACTTTCCATGGAAGGTCATTGTCTACCCTTTCCACGAGTACACAACGATGAGCTTGCCCAGGACTCCGAGGAAGACTAACCGGCACAATCGTTTCCGATCTCGGCGGAAGAACAATCTTCTTAAGACTGTACACATTCCCTGGTAACGCCCCTTCCACGAGAAGTTCCTCTTGTCCACATTTCAAAACACCTTGCTTAACGTCGATCTCACAACAATTCTTCCTCATAAAGTCTAGGCCCAGGATGCAGTCGTCCATTATATCAGCCACGATGACATTATGCAGGTAGATCATATTGCCTAGCTTCAACTCCATCTCCTTCTCTCCACGGACGGGTATGCGCTGACCGGTGGCTGTCATCAAATTAATGCGTTCGCGGTTGTATGCGGAGTCCCCAAGAAACTGATTTATAAGTTGGGAACTGACAACCGTGCGAGAGGCTCCAGTGTCTATGGTCAGTTTACACGGCTTTCCGTTGACCTCGCCCTTGATGATCAGGCTGTTTTCATCACGGGTTTGTGAGATCGAAATCCTTGGGGCTCTTTTAACAACAGCCAGCACCGCCAGTTTCCCTGCTGCTGCTGGGCGGTGCTGTCAGCCACACTACCCTCTCGATATCGATCACCTTCCCTTTCTACAGTTCGTTTAGGGCAACTGGATCGAAGATGGCCCCTTTCCCCACAGCCGTAGCACCTAGGGCTGTAGCCCTTATTGCGGTCCTGAACTGTAGCAGCTGCAACCTCCCTGACGCGGTGGGAACGATGATCCTGCCGCACGGCTTCCACCTCCAGTGCATGGGTCAAGGCGTCCTTAAGCGTCTCGTGGTGCCCGAGCCTCACAGCAGCTCTAACTTCAAGGTCGCGGATGCCGTCGATGAATGTCTGCATCAGGTTCCCTACAATGAGCGCAGGTACAGACTGGTACGCTTTTCGAAACAGCTTCTTCACCTCAAGGGCCCACTGCTGCAGGTTTTCGTTACTGCGTTGCACGTGATCTTTGAGCTGCGCACAAAAGACGTGTTCCAGGTGAGCATCGCCATATCTCGCCTCCAATGCCTCAAGGAGCTGCTCGTAAGTCACTTCCTTACCGAGAGCTTCCAGAACAGTTAATGCCTGGTCGCGTAGGCCTAGGGTGAGAGCAGTCATGGCCTGACTTTTATTCCAGCCGTTCGCTTTCATGACAGCCTCGAACTGGATTTTGTAGGCCGACCAGGAAGAACTCCCGTCGAACGATGGCACTTTGATCATCCACGTAGCGAATTATCCTATTATCCGCATAAATAACTTGGACTGAAACATATAAATTTTGTTGATGATTTAGACGCGCTTATAAATTTTATAATTGTAATTTCGAATAGTGAAGTGCCTATGTTTCATTTTTTAGGAACAATGGATTTATTTCAAAATCCCATCCCCTCTACTTCGGGTTTTGTAGACGAATTGGAAAAGATATTACAGACTTGGGAAAATCCTTTGGAAGGTATTGTTGCAGAAGTAACCATCGAAAATGATATTCTAAGTGATAGAGACCTTCTCGGAATATTTTTCGAAGAAGATCCACTGTCCATTGCTGTTGAGCAAACAGGATGGACTATCGGCAACCCATCACGAGAAAGCCAAAATCTTTTTGAGTTTCGTGGGGAACCTGGACTCAAAGTCAATCTTGGAGATCATCCTGTTGATTACTTCCGAGCTGTAATGACAAACACTTGCTTTGAAACATTGATAAGATGCACGAATGATTACGGAAATAGATTAAAAAGCCATGCCACAGGAAGTGCACGAGCAGTTACTTGGAAAAACGTAAGTATACAGGAAATGGAACTTTTTCTAGGCCTGCTTTTCCACATGGGTTTTGTGAAGTTGAATCGCATCGTTGATTATTGGAAAAAGGATATACTTTTCCATCAACCCATATTTTACAAAAAAAAAATGGCACGCAATAGATTTCAATTGATTTTAAGGTCGCTGAATGTGCAGACTGTACAAAGTACAACAAGTTATGAAAAAGTAAGATGGATTTTAGATTTTTTCAATAATAAGATGTATGAAATATATTATCCAAAGAAAAACCTAGTCATTGATGAATCAATGATGCTTTGGAAGGGTCGTTTAAAATTCCGACAATATGTAAAAGGTAAACGACACAAACACGGGTTGAAAATTTACATGTTGGCGGATCAGTTAGGGATAGCATGCCGGATACACCTATACGGAGGATCAGCAGACAATCTAGTTGGTGGTACAAATCACGTAAAAAAAGTTGTGCTACACCTCCTTGGTAATTACAAAAATATGGGACACAGCCTGTTTATAGACAACTTTTATACAAGCGTCGCTTTGTCTGGACAATTACAAGCCATTGAAGTTTATTCAACTGGAACTCTAAACAATCGCCGTAAAGATTTTAACAGTGGTAGAGCCACGCGGCAGCTTTTGCTGTCGCACGGATGGGCCGGCTCGAACCGGGGTAGTACCACGACCTCACAGAAAACCAGCGTGAAATAGAGGTTTACCTTTGCGTTTCGCTTGGTGAGTGCAGGTGGCCGGAGGCCTTTTTTACTGGAAATGAGGCGTTCCATCTTAGTCCTCACGGGTGACAACGCAACTATATTTTGATTTGTAACAGAGAATAGATGTAGATGTCTATGGGCCGCAGCAACCACTTACCATCAGGTGGACTGTGTGCTCGTTTGTCACCCTTATCCTATAAAAAAAAAGATATACCAGAAGAAATAAAAACTACAAAACTCAAAACAGGCGAGGCGGCGATTATGCACAAAAACGGTTTATGTATTATTGTGTGAAACAGAAACAGAAACTTTTTTATTCAATATAGATTATAAATAATACTTATTGAAAGTCACTCTATTGTATGATTACCACTGGTTCGAAAAAAAGACCTCTGTCCTGGGAAGAACCAGCAAGAAACCCAGCGGGACTTTTTTTTAAATAACAGCTTACAATCAGGTATGTTACACAAATTAACAACACAACAAATTAGAAATAGCTTGGTAGCGATCACCTCATTTCCAGGGGTTATTATCATCTATAAATTCATTAATATTATAATAACCCTTTTTATACAAACTTAGTTTAATAAAGTTTTTGAACTTTGAGCAGGTCAAATTTTGTATATTTTCTGGAATTTTGTTGTAAAAGCGTATACATCGCCCCAAGAATGAATTACTGACTCGATGGAGTCGAGTAACTGGTACTACTAGCTTGTGTTTGTTCCTAGTATTTACAGAATGAATATCACTTATTTTTGTAAAACTACTTTTATTTTTGTGTACGTACATTACATTTTCATAAACGTATTGAGAGGCCAAAGGAAATATAATAATTTCCTTGAATTTTTGTCGCAGCGACTCTTTAGGCTTTAAATCATAAATTGCTCTTATGGCCCTCTTCTGTAAAACAAATATAATTCCAGTGCGTCCCCCATAGCAAATTCAGCTGCGTGTCCCCATAGCAAAATACCATACGACATTATGCTATGGAAATAGCTAAAGTAAACTAGTCTAGCTGTTTCAACACTAGTTAGACTTCTAATCTTTTTTACGGCATATGCTGCAGAACTAAGTCTGCTTGCTAGTTTTGATATATGGGGGCTCCATTGAAGCTTCGCGTCTAGTGTGATTCCAAGAAAAATGGTGGTATCTACAAGACTCAGTTTCTCCCCATTTAAAATTATATTAGTATTTAATTGTTTGACATTTGGAGTCATAAATTTCATACATTTCGTTTTAGTGCCATTTAAATGCAAATTATTAACATTAAACCAATTTACTAATTTAGATATAGCATTATTTACTTCGTCATATTTTAGCAATTGTCAACTTAATTTGAAAATTAAAGAAGTGTCATCCGCAAATAATACTATATCATGGTTATCTCCTACTATGTAAGGTAAGTCATTAATGTATACAAGAAACAGAAAGGGGCCGAGAATTGAGCCTTTAGGCACGCCCATTTGTACCATCGACCCGGAAGAACTCATACTGTTAATGACAACTTTTTGCGTTCTCTTACTTAAATATGAAATAATTAATTTAAGAGCATCACTTCTTACACCGTAGTGTTGAAGTTTCCTGATTAATGTTTCATGGTGAACACAATCGAAGGCTTTGGATAGGTCACAAAATATATCCAAAGCATCCTGTGAATTCTCCCATGCATTAAATATATATTTAATCAGCTCAACACCGGCATCAGTTGTCGAGCGACCCCTTGTGAAACCAAATTGATTTTTATGAAGTAAATTATTTATATTAAAGAAATTTAACATTTGATCAAGAATAATTTTTCAAAAATCTTACTAAGTGTTGGTAGTACAGAAATAGGTCTAAAATTGGCGGGGTCTAATGTATGGAAAGATAAAAGGGAAATAATGGCTCTTTCTAACAAATATAATGCTGAATTTATTGAAACAAGGAATAGAAGGGGCCAAGTTAAATGTAAACCAAATATGATAGCCCAATACACAAAGCATATGAAGTCTGTAGATCATCATGATCAGATGATGGCTTATTATAGTTGTGAACACAAAAGTCTTATATGGTACAAAAAAGTAATAATCCATTTGTTGGAAATTATGATAATAAATGCATATTTATTATACAGAGCAGATATCAGACATAACATAACCCTATATGATTTCAAATTAAGCGTTATTAAAAGTCTCTTATCATACGATTTTGAATTAAGCCTACCGCTAACGTCTCGAGTGCATTTGCCATCAAATTTGCCAAAAGATGACAGAGACCACACTAAAAGACGAAGATGTGCCCAGTGCTGGAAGGTAGCAAAAAAGAGAGTACAGAGTATATTTTTTTGTAACGACTGTCTCGAGAAGCCTGGACTTTGCATAGGTTGTTTCAGAGAATACCATAGATATTAGAATTACTTATTAGTTTTTTTAGTGATATTTAAGGTGGCGACACCTAACTAGGAAAAATTGGATTATGTTCATTTTGATTTTCATAAATAAAAATATAAAGTCTAGACTCATGTATCATTTATTAATTTGAAACCCAATTACAGGTACAGATGCCGTCACCTAAAAAAAAAAACGCTGTACAACGTATCTGCGCAGTCTGCGCATACAAATCGCGCTCTGCGCAGGTGCGTCGCCAGCGGTCTTTTCACGTGACGCATAGTATAGTATATCTACGAGACGATCATTTGTGTACTTTTTTAAACAATCACTATTATGTTGAAATATTTTGTTTACCAAAGAATTACATCAATTAGGTAGTAATGTAAATATATTAGGGATAATGGGTTCTCTGAGAGATAAAATATTTTGAAGAAATGTGTAGTAAGTTAAGACGACCCCAGATCACTTTCAATTACGAATTCAATTGCTGAAATGGTAGCAATGGATAACCAGCCAATTTCTATAGTCGAAGATAAAGGCTTAATCTGTTCATGCAGTTGGTAAGGCCCAAATCACAGAATAAATAATAGTACTACGTAAAGTTGCACTCTTTTGATGTTGACTGCTTACCGACTTTTTAATAGCCTACATAGTTATTATTAATCAGATAAATCGCGCACACAAGCTAAATAAAACTTTATAACGATATTTTATTCAATTAAAGGTAATTTAACACGATTTTTCTATCCTCCGATAAAAGTTATTCATTAGTTAAAATATAACATTGACAAATTAAAAATTAAACTTGTATGAAGATAACTGCAATTGTTACACTTTTATATTATTCAGTTATGTTGTAATTTATTTGATGGATACATTTTATATGACGATTGAAAGTCGCCCTTTAGAAGTTTTTTTTTTATAGGAGAGGGGGCAAACGAGCATGCGGCTCACCTGATGGTAAGTGACTACCGCCGCCCATGAACAACCGCAACACCAGGGGAATTGCAGATGCGTTGCCGGCCTTTTAAAAAGGAGTAGGCTCTTTTCTTGAAGGTCCCTAAGTCGTATCGGTCCGAAAAAATCGCTGGTGGTAAACTATTCCACAAGGAAGTTGTGCGAGGAAGAAAACATCTTCTAAATCGCACAGTGGTGGACCGCCAATCATCCAGATGGTGTGGATGGTATCGGGAGTTCTGCCGCGATGTGCGTTCGTGAAATTTGGCGGCTGGGATTAATCCGAACAATTCCTCAGAGCACTCCCCATGGTAAATGCGAAAGAAAATGCTAAGAGATGCAACATCTCTTCGCAATGCCAATGAGTCGAGCCGATCGGAAAGGGCTCGGTCGTCGACTATTCGAGCCGCTCTGCGCTGGATGCGGTCAAGTGGAAGAAGCTGGCACTGGGGAGCCCCAGCCCAGAGATGGGAACAGTATTCCATGTGAGGCCGAACCTGCGCCTTGTAAAGTTGCAGGCGTTGAGCCGGCATGAAATACTGTCCCGCTCTGCTGAGCACGCCAAGCTTTTTAGAGGCCAATTTGGCCTTCTCTTCCAAGTGACCACGAAACTGCACGCTACTCGATATGTCGACGCCGAGGATTCCGATACTGGCTGAGGCAACAAGGGGAGTACCTTGAAACTGAGGAGATACGACAAAGGGGTTCTTTTTGGCGGTAAACGCGCAAACTTGTGTCTTCTGAGGATTAAACTGGACTAGATTTAGTCGCCCCCAATCCGAGACTTTGTCCAGCAAAGACTCGACTTCAGACACAAGTTTGTTCCGGTACTCGGTGACGTTTTCCCGAGAAATATTGGCACGGCCGGTGTATAGAGCATCACCAGTGCTGTCATCCGCATAGCAATGAATGCTACCGGCTTGCAACATATCATTGATATGCAGAAGAAACAGCGTTGGTGATAGCACGCAGCCTTGTGGAACACCAGCGTTAATAGGCTTGTAGTCGGAGCATGCACCGTCTACAACGACCTTGATGCTCCGATCTGCAAGAAAGCTGGTGATCCAATTGCATAATTTCTCGGGAAGCCCATAGGAAGGGAGCTTCGAAAGAAGCGCTTTGTGCCAAACCCGATCGAAGGCCTTCGCAATGTCCAAACTAACGGCCAATGCCTCCCCCTTGGACTCTACTGCCAACGCCTATCTATGAGTTAAGTAGACCAGAAGATCACCAGCTGATCGACCCCGACGAAAACCGTACTGGCGGTCACTAATCAGCTGGTGATCCTCAAGGTACTGCATGAGGTGGCAGTTTACAACGGATTCCATTATTTTGGAGAACAAGGGGGTGATGGCGATAGGCCTGTAGACTGTATACTCATTAGAGCCATCGAGCTGCACTTAGACATATATTCGACACAGTCTATGGCTCTATCCTATTTATTGCTAAGTAAAATCAACTCGGCGTTATTTTCTACCGACTTCAAAGAGGAAGAGGTACTCAATTCGACTGTATGTTGTTTATGTGTGTTACCTCATAACTTTTTTCTGTGTGAACCGATTACGATGATTATTTTGTTATTTGAAAGCTGGTGCTTCTCATATGGTCCCATATAAATTTGATCAAAGCCTGAACAAAAGTTTTTGAGTTATTCTTAATAATTTATATGGAAGTCGGTTGTATAAAATTTTTAATTATTTGTTATTGTGCTTTGTGATATTCAAGTTATTTTGGTTTTGTTTTGTTTTGGTTACATATCTAAATACCTAATTGATATTTAATTGTAACATATCAATTATCAACAGACTTTTTCAAAACCATAGCTGGCTGAGGAAGATCTGACTAGTTGTAAACAAGCAGCAAGCTCAAGTCATGAGGACCACTGTCTGTTGCATCTGCACTGCATCAAGGTCGTTACTATTTTATTTCGGTAAATTAGTAAATAAAGTAGAAAAATAACATAACATAAATTTATTAGCTAGCTTTTGCCGGCAGCTTCAAGAAATTTTATTTTTAGATACGGCATGTAGACAATTGAATAGAAGTTATTGCGCAGTTGCGAGCCTCATTAGAGACTAATTAAAAATAGAAAGAAACAAATCTAAGTATACACAAATTAAATATCAAACTATGTTGCGAACGCTATCACATCGAGTTTTATCTCTCTTATCAGCAAAAAGTTCGTAGACACATCACCACAATTTATATTCTTTGATATCGTGTTCGGTGAAATACCAATGTAACTCATGTAGGGCCTAGAATTTAGACCCTAGATCATGTAACCTATGCAATACCAAACAGATAGTGGGCAAATCTTTGTTACAGAGAGCATGAGGGATTTGTGGTAGCAAACACCTGGCCGCCGAGCTACAGCACGTCAAGCAGGTTTTGCATGACAACAAGCTCCGGGTCCCACGCCTACGTCACAGTGACCGAGTGAAGCCGGCCGTAGTCGAGCATGTGCATGCTGTACTACCATATATCAGAGGTGTCACAGAAAAGATTGGCTACATCTTGAAGCGAGCTTCGATTAGAACATTCTACAAGTCGCCGAAGAAAATTAGTTATTTCTTACCATTACTCATACGCAAATTTCAACAGTTCGTTGCGGTCAAAATTTTAGAGCAACAAATTTTTAAACTTGGTACCTAATAAGTATCTTAATAGCCCCTAATTTAGGCTTTTTCTAAAAGCAATTTTGATTCTATTTTGATTTTCAGAAAACCTGAATTTTGCATCTGCTATGTTCTGAATAACGACCTTATTTTTATTAGGGGCGCTTTGTTATTGTGTATACTTGAAGCACCTAATTAGCACTTAATTCCTTGCTATTAATCTATACATATAATAAAACTGTAAATAGCAGATGTCTGTACATTTTATATTTTTGTAATAAAAGTGATTGAGGGGTACTAAAAATAAGTAATTAAATACATTTCTACCATTTTTAGAATTTTCTGTCTGTCTGTCTGTCTGTCTGTCTGTCTGTTTGTTTGTTAACGTATCACGTTTAAAGTACTAATTTATATCATAAGAATTGTTAAGGAAATTATAAAGTAAACCTTCGGGTTACATTTAGTCTTTATTTCATTAAAATCGGTTCATTCCATCAAAAGTTATGATAAATATTCTGAAGTATGGGTAGGGAATTTGCTCAACGGTGGCTTTGTTTGAGTCATCAAGTTGATGTTAGCAGCGCCATCTCTCTTTAAATATATACATATAATAAAAATGATGATAACATGTTGTGTCTCTTTCTGTACATTGTATATATATATTATGGTGACTAAAATCATTATGGGGAACTAAAAATAATTAAATAAGTACATTTTTATAATTTTTAGAATTGTCTTTCTGTCTGTTTGTCTGTTTTTATATGAAAGCATCACGTCTAAAGTAAACATCTTTTTTTTTTCAAAGAAATCGTTAAGAAAATCATAAAGCGTATCTTCGAGTTACATTTAATATATGTTTTATTAAAATTGGTTAATTCTATCGAAAGTTATGATTATTATTTTGAAATGTAGGTTCGAATTTGTTTAATGGCGCCACAAAATCTCAGAAATAGTAATAAAAAGATACGTGTGTAAAAAAAACGTTCTATTATAATATATTTATACTTAAAACACAGTAAAAAAAAATATGTTTTCCTTAAATTAAAAAAGGATGTTTTCTCACAAAGAACGTAATAGATGGCGTTGTACAAATTACAACCTTTTCTGAATTGCGGTGTTAAGATTTTTCGCAGGTGAATCGTATTGACACTCACTGAAAAATTTTATGTTCATGAGTCCGACGAAGCTGCAATCCTGTTAAAGCCGTGTAGGCTAACAACACAAAGAAAAAAGAGACGTACGTACGTCGAAATTATTCAACAAAACTCGAAAACTCGACTAAAAGTAGTAAATTTGCAATAAATGTCGTGATATTGTTTTATACCCAGAATCCCTCTAAACCTCTAATACCAAATAACTGTTGTTGGCATCGATAGCTCAACATCGATGTTCGATGTTTAGGCTACTCAAAACATCGATGATGACCATTATCGATGGTTTTTGTATATG